TAAAATTTTATAAAATTGATATTTTTTAAATACACTATGGTGAAGGGTATATAAGATTCGGCACAGCCGAATATAGCACTCTTGTTTTATTGTGTATTTTGTTTCGTATGTTTTTGATGCTGTTGGTTTTACTGCCTTATGTATTTTGTGTGTTTATTTCGTTTAGCGTTGTTGTTCATTTTGTTTTGCTATTGCTATAATAATGATATAGTCGGGCAAATGAAATAAATTTAAATTTTATGAAATTGATATTTATTAAATACACTATGGTGAAGGGTATATAAGATTCGGCACAGCCGAATATAGTACTCTAACTTGTTTTATATAAGAATTGGAATTAATTGGATTGCTTTAATTTAAATTTATCTTCTGGGATTGCAATTTTAAAAATCCCGAATCCCGGGATTTGTAAAAGCCAGTCCCGTTTGGCATCCCTAATTTGCATTATTTTGATTAAAAAGTAAAATCTGGAGAGTAGAATTTTAACTTCTCATTCTCATTTTTGTGAATAATATTGCAAAAAATGTCAATAAACAATAACTAATAATAAAATTATACGGTCAATTATGGACCGATCCTTATAAAATTACAGAGAGATTTAGTTTCCTCTAAAACATGTTTATGCCTAATTTCGCCGCAATATATGCTTCTTTTAGCCAGTTATGACCGTTAAAGTCATTTTCTTATATTGTGGGCTAGGCAAAATCGTGAACCAATATTGCCCATTTTCAATGCCAAACAACCTGCATCAACTGAAAATATCTGTGCAAAATTTCACCTCTCTTTAGCTGTTTCCTTTTGGACTCATTTAACAGACGGACGGACATGGCTAAATCGTCTTAGAATCAAATAAGAACCCGGAATATATATACTTTTATGGGTTTTAGACAAATATTTCGAAGTGTTTTTTGAAGGTGGATATAAAAATGTAAATTAAAAGTTTTATGAATTCTAGAAGAAAACTAAATTGAATAATTCAAAGAACGATAAATTTGTGTATATTAAATAAGAGAATTTTTAACCGAGAGAATTTAACCAAATCTGAAAAAAAAAAAAACGAATTTCGTCCTTTATGAACACAATTTTATACTTATGAGTTAAATAGATATAATGGAACTTAAAATATCAAGAGCAACAGGCTTAGAAAATTTCAGAATAAATACTTTTATAGCTGCTTTAGAATAAATACTTTTATAGCTGCTGAATGCTGTATTGTTAGAGCATTCATGAGGGATACCACAGCTTTTAGGTTAATTTTCTTTAATTTCCTTTTCGAAATTCGTTTGTCATTACGGGAGACAACGAACACAAACATGAATACTTATTACAACCATTAAATGGAGTGTGTTTATGTAAAACGAGCGACGCTGTCTGCTGATTCCTACAAAATGTCATAATGCACAACGAATTGATTTTGAACGATGACATGTGCCGCATGTGGCCAATACGACATGTATTACTTTTGGTAATGGTGGTAATGTTTGCATACGTACTTACATACATACATACGTCGCAATATGCCAAGGGGAAATTTTTTAGAAAATAGGCCTTACACGTAGGCATAAACATGGAAAAGTAAAATCCTTTTCCATTTTACATGAAGTGCCATTTGACACTCAAGAAGAAGGTTTACGACCTTTCATGAAAACACAAAAAGAGTATTGTTTTAAAACTTAAACATTATTCATATTTTTTTTAGGAAGTGACAAGAACTCGGCGAGGTATTACAAAGTTAATGATAAGTGTTTATATATTTCTGGCCGAAATTTTAGGAAAGAATGTTCTAATTGTGTAGAACTCCTCAAAATTTATTTTACATATTTCCGTGTCAGGTCCTCTTTTTGGTAAATAAGGAACAACAACACTGCTTATTCATTGCGTTGTGTTTTTTGTTTCGTATGTTTGGATGTCTGTGGGACCCACAGTGTGGGCTTCATTGCCTTGTGTATTTTGTTTCGTATGTTTTTATGTGTATTTCCTTTCGCATGTTTGGATGTCTATTGGTTTCATTGCCTTGTGTATTTTGTTTTTTTGTTCCTTTTGTTTTGCTATTGCTCTAAGAATGATATAGTATACATTAGGGTGGCCCCAAAATGGAAGTTGCTGAAGTACTCACTGAAAATGAAAATTTAGTTCCTTCTAAGAAACCATTTTTCAAAATTTTTGTCCTGACGTCAATATATGGTGAGCTGGATCAAAGGATAAAAAGGTTATTTTTTAAGGTTATGGTTTTTATCATATTTTTTGCAAATAAACCATATGCAAATTTAGTATCATATGAAAGGTCTTTGGGAGACGATTTCAATGACATAACACAATTTTGTATACAACTCCAAAATTATTACAAATGTCGTAATTTTTCGAAAAATATTTAAGTTTTTCATATTTTTACATAGAATTATTTAATGTAATTAATAGAAATTATCTTCTATATATCTATATTATTATAACATATATAAAAATTAATGTGTGTTTATTTGTTTGTGGGTTTGTTTGTCTAACCAACTTTTAAAGAAATTCTGGAATTCTCCCTTTGTTCCATGTACCAGGGACCATTTTTTCGGTAATTGGGTGATGAAATTTAGTTGTTCATCCTTTTTTCTGCCAATGTTCATAAAAAATTTAAAATATAACAATATAATTTGCTTTTCCTGGGTCTCTTCTAAGTAACAAACATTAAACAATTCAATTTTGGTGATAGACTTTGATATGAAAGCTTTCAGACAGAAATCGGCAGGTAATTTTTTTACCATTTAACTGAACACATATCATAGACGATAACGACAAACAACATTTAAATTCACAATTAAAGCTTTAACACAAGTTATAATACTATTAAAATTGCACAATTACTGCACTACTGCAGTAATACTAATACAGATATAATAAAAATTTTTATACCGTTATGTAGGCTGGAGACTTGTCTTTTCGAAAAAATGCAAAAAATTCACATATGTACGATCCCACAAAACGACTTTTTTCGGGCTAAACTTGTCATTGGGACCACCGTGCTCCCATATGAATTATATATAAAAAATGATTTTCTGGGAAACAATTAGAGGTAGAATCTTCAAAATTTGCACCAAGAACTTTAACATCCATGAGAACATGTGGGAAAAAACGGGCGGACTTTCATTAGGGGGGCTTAGCATTTCCCATATGAATTAAATGTAAAAATTCGTATATCTGAGAAACTATTAGAGCTAAAATCCTATAATTTAGCACGAAGAACTTTTGCATCCATGTAAATATTTGGGTAATAAATCAGCGGACTAGAAATAGGGGGCATTGCACCTCCCATATGAATTAAACAGATCAATTCGTTTATACAAACTTTGAACGAAAAACTTTAACGTTCTTATGAACATTTCGGAGAAAAATAGGCGGACTTTCATTAGGGGGTCTTGAATCTTCTCACATGAATAAAATACAAAATGTCGTTTAACTAAGAAACTATTGGAGCCAAAATTCTCAAATTTTGCAAATATATCTTTGCATGAATATGAATATTTTGGTACTAAAATGGCGGACTAGCAATAGAGGGGTTTTATTTATATTGTTTTTAGGGTAGCAAAGCACACTGGGTATAGCTTGTTTCATTATAAACCTCATATGATTTAACCGAAATGGTTTTTCCTGTTTTCCGAAATTCGATATGCTTTGTATTTTATTTTAATATTTTAAATCCTATTTTCTCCCCGGTATTGTGCTAGCTTTATTAATCTAATGTACATAAAATGTACATCCTTATACCCGCAATTCATTAGCTTTACATTGATATGTAACACTTAATAGTTTCATTCTATTTTAGAAAAAATTTTCCAGTTTAACTAAAATTTGAACACAATTTATCCTAAGCATCTATGTATGTACTTGTTTGTTATGTTTATTTTGTTAATAACGGTGTATGTTGTTGTTTACATTATTTTGCACTGTTTTGGTAGCGTATATATAATTTCAAATAAACTTCGATCTAGATTGAATTTTGAAAAACGGAAAAAACCGATTCGGAAGATTTTATTGAGGATTATTATATATTAATTTCAATGAATTATATTAAATTTATCTGGGTTAAAATGCAAAAAAATCTGAAAATTTCCCGAAAAATTTGAAAATTTGCTGTTACGTAAAAATTTCTGATATGGAATATAAAGCGTCTCTGAAGGACCTTTCTAATGATATCAATATTTCATATCATTCCTTAGGAAGAAATATGAAAAAAAAAATAAAAAATCTCAAAAAAGGACCTTTTTATCCTGTGTTCCAGCCCACCAAATATTGACGACAGGACAACAATTTTGAGAAATGGTATCTTAGAATCAATTAAACTGTTATTTTAGTTGGGAACATTGACCCCTCATTATTTCTCCATATAAACGGGGCCACCCTAATGTACATATAAGTATCTTATTTTCTCTCTGTTTTTAATCCAACACTTTGACAGTTTTCCTAACAATACAATATTTAAGTACATACATTGCCCTGTGGTTGAAAAAATTCACGACATCAGTTGTAGAACACAATGATTTCAACGATTTCTTTAATCGTACTTAAACATATTAATTATATTATTTTTTTTTTTTTTGCATTTGACCACTGTGCACTTTATGTCTTTCGTCTTCTCCCGTTACTTCCTATTGACTCAATGTCTGTCATCCAATGAAAAAATCGGAAGGAAACTTTATATACAAAACTGAATAAAAATTATTCAAGTCGTGTGTCAAGCGTTTGGTTTCAATTATACACGCAGGCAAAATGTCATTCATTCATTTGTGTGTGTTCATTTTTTATTTTGTCTATGGCTTTCCCCCGTTTGACGCACATAAATTGCTGATTTCATAAACTGAAATTTTTAGAAACTATTTATGAGAATATATGTAAATATATACATATTTATGCTCCCACCAAAATCTGTAATAAGTAATGTCATTTTATTACCATTACAAGTTGAAAACCTAATTTAGCGATTAAATTAGTTTTCATTTGAAATAGGTACTTACCGATTTATAGATGATACACTCGGCACATTGTCCTGAGAACATATACCTTCAGATAAAAGTCTATCCCGAATTTCCCAAGCAAACATGGTGGGATTTTCGCGTTTATAATTAGCTATAGCATCTACTACGGGGGGTGTGGCAACTTTTGGCTTTGATCCGCCAATAACACCAGCTTTAAAGCTACCAGTCTCATAATATCTAAAAGTAAAATAAAAAATATATACAGGTATGCATTTTTATTTATGATTTGTTGTAGCAAAATAACTACAGACCAATTAAAAAATTTTGAATCTTAAACATCGCCCAATTCTTAAAATATCAGGCATAATGCCGTCGGGCATTTACCTATAATTATTATCTATATTAATACATATCCTATTATTTTAGGATATGTATTCATATACATATGTATGTTGGTTACCAGGATCTATGCTTGAGTATCCACTTATAAAACGTGTGATTGATTGTTCACATACATACGTACATATTGTATGTACACCCATTTACAAAACCATTTACGTCCGTAAATATTATCTAGCCAAGTACACATTCATACAGGCCACTATGCGGCATATACTCTGAAAACCTGGCCAAAAAGGCAAAAATTAATTTAAAGACAAATTGAGTATACAGTTCGATAGACAACAAAATTCTGCATGAAATTGTGAATTTTCAATACTTAAGTCATAGACCGGCGCTAGTATTGTACTGAATACGAATACACGATCGCATACGATCTTCTCAACAAGAGCGTCAAAAATATTAATAATTTATTTAGTTGCTTGACAGCAGTGTTGCCAGAACTCCCTCAGAAAAAAGTGCAAATTCGTTGAAAAAAGTGCAGGTCACAATTTTTTTCGCATAATTCAATAAGCCTATTTAAAATTGCTCCATGAACCACATAAAATTCTGAAAGGGTTTTTAATCCTATGAAACTTGAATATGAATTTAACAGCTATACATGATTTTTAAGCAAGTTATTTATGGGCGCTTGTATATAATATAGACCGATTCTTATGAAATTTGATAGTCATGTAAAATGCTATAAAACTTATTAAGATTGAATTTTATTGTTATACTGGTATAGCTAGTTATGAGTGTTAAAGTCAGATATGATTCGATCCTCACAAAATTATGTGAAATTTATGTTACTATTAAACTTGCTTTTGTCGATTTGCATTGCACAGTGGGGCAGAATGGAAATTTTTTGGAAATAAATCTGGCATTTCTAAACGGCTGATCCGATCGGGATAAAATTTGGCGTGAGCGTAGCCAAGGAGTATTCGAGTTTAAGTTTTGAAGATGAACCCTGCAGATGCCCCAGGGACGGCGCTGTGGCGGCTCAAAGTAGGGTACCTACGACATGTAAAATTTTTAAACTCGTGCCATTTTTTTGTTTTTAACCCAAATACAAAGATTTTTATATTTTGTGAAAGCGCTCGACGAGATCTTGAAAAAACATGCTTGGACATACTACTTATCTCTTATAATATCCGAGTTATAGGCATTTAAAAATTTAGTGATACAAAATTTACCATACCTTGGTCCGCCTTTTTTTGAATACCGGGCGTAATTTTGGACCAAATGGACTCAATTACTATAACCTGTAATTCAGTCATTGATATTTCTTATTAGTGAATGAATCGAAATTATCATTACCTGTATATTTTTACCTACATGATCATAAACGAAACAGAACGAAATGATCTGTCGAAAAAATTTAGGTAAAAAATAGTTATACATTTTTGAAAATTTAAGCATAATAGGACCTTTCAATTATAACAAATAGAAAAATAGGTAAATATAAGATTTAAATATGTGCTGTCATACTTAATACTAAAATATGAAAAAGATGAAATTAAAGGACACAGGTTTAAATGAACATATTTTTGAATGTAATTGAGATATTGGCTTGAAATTTTTTGTAAAGGGTCGAGAATTTCCATATCTAACTAAAAAATGATATTAAGGGATAAATATGGACTAAATTGTTGTAGCTATCTGCGATCCTATTAAAATTTTGATATAAATCATAGTTTTAGAAATTAAACAAATATGTAATATATGACAAAATCTTTATTTATGAACAAAACTCAATGAAATTTTCAACGCTTGTTAAATTTGTCATTTCAAATAAGAATATGCAAAAAAAAAAAATTGAAAAGGTCAAAGGGCATCCCGCAATTCCCAAAAATAGGAATGAAAATCCCAAAAATGGGATTTTTTACTTTTTTGCCCATAGGGTCCACATTTCTTTCAGGGCTGGGAAAATACTTTTGGAGTAAATAGAAAACATATTGAGGTTTCCAAAACTGCTTTCAGTTTTCTGATCCCAGCTTTGGGATTTTAGAACATGTCGCCCAAAGTTGAAGTTTTGATAAAAAATAGGTCATATTCGGAAGGACGCAGTGGCAACATTTTCAAAAAATAGGACAAGTTTTTTACGCCAAAGCGTTCTGCGTAAAGATACCTTTTAGAAAACTATAAAATTGTTATATGTTCTTAATAAAAATTTTATTTTATTAATAAAAGAGTTAAGACACATTTTTGGCAAAAAAACGCCAAAAATCTAAAATTTTTTGAATTTTTAAATTAAAAAACGTATATTTTTGGATCTGTAAACGATATTGATCTGAAATTTTTTGTATATTATTGGAAATTTTGTTGTCTAACTAACAAGAAAAAATTAAGTCCATTTGGTCCAAAATTACGCCCGGTATTCAAAAAAAGGCGGACCAAGGTATGGTAAATTTTGTATCACTAAATTTTTAAATGCCTATAACTCGGATATTATAAGAGATAAGTAGTATGTCCAAGCATGTTTTTTCAAGATCTCGTCGAGCGCTTTCACAAAATATAAAAATCTTTGTATTTGGGTGAAAAACAAAAAAATGACACGAGTTTAAAAATTTTACATGTCGTAGGTACCCTACTTTGAGCCGCCACAGCGCCGTCCCTGGGGCATCTGCAGGGTTCATCTTCAAAACTTAAACTCGAATACTCCTTGGCTACGCTCACGCCAAATTTTATCCCGATCGGATCAGCCGTTTAGAAATGCCAGATTTATTTCCAAAAAATTTCCATTCTGCCCCACTGTGCATTGCTATACTAATATTTTTAAGCTTTTTATGATCGTTAGTTTTTTGCTGAAGGGTGCCTTTTATGTGAGTAGGACAAAAGTCCAGGTGCATAAAGCTAACTTATACCAAATTTCAGTATATTTTCTGCCTAACTAACATTTTTATACCCATCATCAAAGATGATATATACATATTCTAGGTCCTTATTAAATTCTAAGACGATCTAGCCATGTCTGTCCGTCTGTCTGTTGAAAGCACGATAGTTTTCGAACGAAAAAAGATAGAGGGTTGAAATTTTACACAAATATTCCCTATAGGTAAGGTTTGTTTGGTATTAAAAATAGGCAATATCGGTCCACGTTTTCGTATAGCCCACCGAAAAACAGTTCTTGCAGTCATAACTCTTTTTTCAAGTATAGCGATGAAATTCGACATAGACAAGTTTTATACGAACCAAAATCTTTTGACAAAATTTTATGATGATCGGACCATAATTGACCTATCCTCCATAAAGCCCTCTTCACAGATTGGCTTTAATGCATATTACTCACTTAAAATTACGAGTACAACGTGAAACACGACACAGACATGTTTTAAACGAATCCAAATCTCTCTACTAAATTTTGTGAGGATCGGTCCATAATTGCCCCTACCTTCCATATAAGGCCCACTTCAGAAAATTACTTTACACTCATTACTGGCTTAAAACTATAGGTACAGCGATAAAATACGACATTAACGATTTTAATAGCAACCAAAATCCCTTTAGAAAATTTATGAAGATCGGTCCATAATTGGCCCTAACCCCCATATAAGGCATTCTAAAGAAGATTACTTTAATGCTCATTACTGCCTTAAAAATACGAGTACATAGATGAAATTCTATACAGACATGTTTTATATGAATCGAAATCTCGTAAACAAATTTTGTGAGGATCGGTCCATAAATACCCCTTCCTTCCATATAAGGTCCCCTTCAGAAGAAGATTTTAACGCTTATTACTGGCTTAAAAATATGAGTGAAGCAATGAAATTCAACATAAACAATTGAATGCGAATGAAAATCCCCATTTTTTTAATATTTTTTCTGAACTTAGACGACTTAAATAAAGAAGCCCATAAAGTTTTTATATCCTGAACTAAATCGTTGTAAACTAGTGTTATCTATATATGGGAAATTCTTTTTTTGTTTTATATTTTAAGAAATCAACTTTATGCATTAAATATTTCTTTCGTTTATTTTGAAAGTTAAGTGATGACAAATTTTTATTCACAAGACTTGTAAGAATACGTCCATAAAATTTTGTGGTCGAGAGTCGAGTTCTATGTTGGAGAAATAAACACTCAAAGTTAAAATTTCTCAAAAATGTGATTGAAACTAAGTACATAGTTTTTTTACAACTTTTTGAAATTATTAGGGCGGCTTACAACTCTTTAGCGAATTTTCGCATTATAAACAATATTTAAATTCTGAACTTTATCAGTGATCAATCTTTATATAGAAAGAATTGCTTTGCATTAAAAAAAATTAATCAAGGCCTTTCGTGGACTGAATACGCGAGGTTTCTTTCACAACATAAATCGATGAAGCACACCTAAGCCGCTAATTTAAACTGGAGACATTACACATCAACTTTTAGCTGACAATGATGCTTATGCGAAAATCGATAAGCCGATTGAAAAAAGAAGGATTTTGCATTAAAAAGTATAAAAAAGTTCATTCATGTAAATATATATATTTTTTTCCAAAATTTAAATTAACCGGATTGGTTTTCATTTTAACGGTTTTTGGATTAATAATTCATTTAAATTTAGAAATGAAAGGATATGCTAACTACAATTGAAATTTCATCAAAATTTCTCTTTAGCCTAAAACGCGGAGCACACCTAAACCGCTTATTAAAAGTGGTAACACTTAACATTAATTTGTAGCTGACAATAATGCTTATACCAAAATCGATAAGTCGTTAGAAAAAAGTACGATTTTGTATTAAACGCATTGAAAAAATTTCGGTCATGTGTATGAAATTTATTTCCAAAATTTATATAGATTTTCATTTAAACGGTTTTTATACTATTTACTCATTTAAATTTAGAAATGGAAGCAGAAGATAATTA